CAGTTTTGTACGCATGCTATGAAAGGGCTCCATTCTGTTGATTGTACATGGTATTTCCCAATAGTGATGCACTTTGGGCGTCTCAAAGCGTCCAAATAAGACTGTTTTCACGCTTAAACGGATTAGGCCTTCTCTACCGCGGCACTTAATACAATTGGGGCCGTCGATAACGCTTCTGGATGAAAGGTACCGTTTGGATGGGAATAAAGTACTGGTGATACGGTATTGTAGCGATTGTACATTGTTAGTCGCCACAAAGTATATGCTACAAGTGCAACTTGTTAACCGCTTTACCTGCGAGCTAATTTGTGACTGAAGCTTGCAAAGTGGGGGGTTCTGTTTGACCAGCTGTGTATTTCTCCTGCGCCAGCCCATGTCTGAAACTGTAGCCCTCTGGATTCCAGCGTATTTAAGCAGTGGGCTTCCGAACGCTACTTCCGAGAACATACGAGCTGGACTTCGCTGCGCATAGGGACCCTCTGTATTCCCAGATGCCATAGTTTGATTCCTGCTTTCGCCCTAGTCGCATCAAAAGACTTCTGTCCCACTTGTTATGCAGGCCTGAGCCGTGTCCAGTTGATATCACGACGTCCATTCCAGCGCGCGCTGCGCAGGCATTTTGAACAAACACGAAGCACCGCCAGCGAACTGAAACACTCGTAGCTCCGCGCCGGTTGTGATGACTCGTCGCTGCTAGCGCACCACGTTTGTGTGGTTGACGCACCACTCGTCGCGGCTGGCGCACCACGTTTGTGTGGTTGACGCACCACTCGTCGCGGCTGGCGCGCCACATTTGTGTGGTTGACGCACCACTCGTCGCGGCTGGCGCGCCACGTTTGTGCGGTTGACGCACCACTCGTCGCGGCTGGCGCGCCACGTTTGTGCGGTTGACGCACCACTCGTCGCTGCTAGCGCACCACGTTTGTGTGGTTGACGCACCACTCGTCGCGGCTGGCGCGCCACGTTTGTGCGGTTGACACACCACTCGCCGCGGCTGGCGTACCACGTTTGTGCGGTTGACGCACCACTCGCCGCGGCTGGCGTACCATGTTTGTGTGGTTGACGCACCACTCGTCGCGGCTGGCGCGCCACGTTTGTGTGGTTGACGCACCACTCGTCGCGGCTGGCGCGCCACGTTTGTGTGGTTGACGCACCACTCGCCGTGCGATCTGCGCACCACGTTTGTGTGGTTGACGCACCACTCGCCGTGCGGTCAGCGCGCCACGTTTGTGCGGTTGACGCACCACTCACCGTGCGGTCGGCGCACCACGTTTGTGTGGTTGACGCACCACTCGTCGCGGCTGACGCGCCACGTTTGTGCGGTTGACGCACCACTCGCCGTGTGGTCGGCGCACCACGTTTGTGTGATTGACGCACCACTCGCCGTGCGATCTGCGCACCACGTTTGTGTGGTTGACGCACCACTCGTCGCGGCTGGCGCACCACGTTTGTGCGGTTGACGCACCACTCGCCGCGGCTGGCGGGCCACGTTTGTGCGGTTGACGCACCATCCGTCGCGGCTGGCGCGCCTCGAGTTTGAATGGCCAGCGTTTCTGTGACCGGAACGTATGGCGGCCGGGACAGAGGGCAGCCCTGGTGTGGACCTCTGAAGGGCCCAAACCTTCGGAGGAGATTGTGACCGATATGAATAATAGCCAGTTTCGTATTCATGTGCAACAGCTGTATTCACTGGATAAAAGTGGCATCGAAATCGAGCAAATGCATTGCCGAGCGAAGGAAACCGTGTGCAACCGTGTTATATGTCACTCAGATGACATTCAGGGTACAAGTATAGGCTCACCCTTAGTTATCACATTTGCCCTTATTTACTTCTGACGGTTTTCTGAGCGCGCCGCCCGCACCGCAAGCTTTGCTTAGAAAGACTCTCAAAATCGGTGTCACAGGGTCTGATATGTTGCCGGGCCGAATGAGCCTACCCATATGGATTTTAATCGAAGTCTAATGCATGAAAGGGATTAATTCATAACTGTCAACACCATCGGATCACAAAGGTCAACATCATCAGTGCTTAGACCTCAGCGCACCAGTTCACAATGGTCAGCACCATAGCTCCTTAGCGGTTGGCGCCGTTGATCCATAACAGTCAACACCGCCAGGCCATAATGACCAACATCTTTAGTCCATAGCACTCAAACTATCGGTCCACAATGGTTAGCACCGCTAGTGCGTAACGGTGCGCAACATGAGTCCGAAATGGCCTACACCTTTAGTTCATACGATCTACATCATCATTCTGCTTATCGGTCCACATCGTCAATCCATGGCGGTCAACGACGTCAATTTGCGTAACGGTCCATAACAGTCAACATCACCAGTCTATGGAAGCTAAAACCCTCAATCCGCATCGGTCAACACATCAGGTCTGAGCGGCCAACACAGTCAGTGCGAAACGGTCAAAATCATCCGTCCATAACAGTCGATACCATTAGTTTATATAGGTGGACGCCCTTACCCCGCAGCGGCGCACATATCGGTCTGTAGCGGACAACACCGTTAATTCATAACGGTCGAGATAATTGATCGATCACTGCAAACACCTTTGATTCACTGTGGTCAATAGTGCAATTATATGGCTGCCGGCAAAACCATCAGTCCGTAGTAGAACCCAACAGCTCACACCATCAGTAAGCAGCGGTCAACATCCTTGGTGCACAGCGATCATTTCAACAATCTGTAGCGGTCAATGCAATAGTCTGCATCGGTCAGTCCAATAGTCTGTAATCGTTAATGTATTCAGTCCATAACGGTCAACACCATTACTTTGCAATGATCAACACCTTCAGGCATAACTGTCTAAACGATAAATCCACAACGATCAACACCGGCAGTCGGCAACGACCAGCACGATCAAATGCAACGGTAGGCACTACACATACGTGGCGATCAATCCCTTAAGTCCCTAGCTGACGACGCTAACTGTTCGGAGCGGTCAGCGCCGCCAGCGGGCAACAGTCAACACCGTGTGTTCGTAACGGGCCAAACTGCCTGTCCAGTACGGACAAACTACCGCCAGTCCAGGCCGACAAAAGCCCCCCACTAAATATTCATCGATGTTATGTCCTTTTATTCCTAATTTCTCCGCCGGTGTATCCGATGTTGATGCGTTCCTGGTCAGGGAGACGCCTAACGTCCTGGACGCCCAGGCTTAGCAGACGATTAATTACAAATCACTGAACAACCTTGACTGTTTTTGACAGTGAATGACATTGGCCTGTGCGAGTTACACTAACACCTGACAGCAAACTCCAGACGCATTCGCCTTTGTGTTCTACTGTATCTGCTACGCCCCCTCGTCCTCGTAGCTGGCTGGAGCCGGCGGCATTCGGAAGCACTCCACGAAATCGTTTGCTTCTTTATTACCCACTTAGCTCATGAACAAGGTCAGGCTACCTGAAAAGTCGCTCGGCAAATGGGAACAGATGGGAGGCCCCGTTTAACAACGCAGACACGCTATCAGTCTGACGAAGTGCACTCCCGTGTCGAATGGCTTCCAAGGCAAAGAGAAAAAGAGCAGACCGGGCTGACAGTTAGGTGAAGGACGTGAACTGATGAAGTGACGGTTATTTTGTTGGCATGCCGTAGCTGGGGACGAGAGCTCTAGGCTCTCTCCTCGGGGCAGCGCTGGTCAGTTTGTTTCTGGTTTCTTGTCAGATCTATAGCCCTGGACTTGAGACGCAGCACAGACTTTTCGCCCGTACGATCAAGAGCTGTTCGTGTTAGGTATTGCCTATTCTTTGGCGTCCTCCAGTGAAAGGTATTATCGTCTTTGGATAGGGACGCGGGATTGAGTAAGATCCTCTGATCAGGCTTCAATGTTTGTTTTAAATTTTAACTTATAGCCTTGTGTCAACACTTTCGTTCATAATCGTATGAACGAAGGACCAGGTGTGCAATGTCTTACCACCTTCCTTGGAAAACTTAGCACTAGCCTTGGGGTGATGCATGGAAGGAATTGTCGGCGAAGGGAGGCGTTACCCACCCTTTGTATGCTACCGTCCTTCGTTGCTATGGCTCTGACTGCCTTCTTCAACTTCCTTCTTACATCTAAAGACAATGCAACTGGTACAACCATTATCAGTTGTTGAAGAGAAACAGAAGATCTTCCAAACTCACCTTGCTCACTTCACATCCGACGGCGACGCAAGGTATGCGGCAGGTGCCGTTACTGATACTTTCTTCTGCTAAAGATGTGAAAGCTACACCACTGACAGCACGACCAGAAACTAGTAGCCAAAATGCACTTAGGCTTCCGCCCTCTGATTTAACTGCTTAAACACAATACTAACTGCCCATAGATTGAGAAGATTAACTAGATTAACGGAGGCCCAAGTTGTTGGCGAATCTTATCGTCATTTCATGATTGCCAACACCACCAGTCCATAACGGTCAACACTATCAGTAGATAACGGTCAACACCATCAGCCGGTAATGGTCATCAGCACGAGTTCGTAACAGCCGGGAAGACGTCAGGTGGGAGATGGCCAGTCCGCAGCGGTCAACACCGTCAGCACGTGACACAGTTCTCCGCCATGCCACTGCGATCGGCGCTGCCAGTTCTTACCGGCCAGCTTGGCGAGTACATAGAGCGGTATTTACCATTGTCAGCATCCTTAGACGTGTGCAAGTTAGACTGAGTAATATCCAGGCCATTTTATAACTAATTTCTTCACTCGTGTATCCGGTACTAACGTGTCCTTGGAAACTTGTTTAGTTTTGTTATTGATGCCCTTGCTGTGTTCGTTTATATCAGGACAATATAACCGAGAATGTGTTTGCGTGTTCGCTCTCTGTTTTTTGTACCTAGTTTTTTGAAGCTGCGATTGTCATTAGACATGGATCGCCGATGTTTTTACTTCGAAAGTTATGCTGAGCAGCGCAGCCCGCGGTCAGGCTCAGGTGGAGGTGGACGACCTTCCCCGCCCGCCAGATAGTAGCCGACATCCTGCCACGTACTGAAGTTCTGGCCACGGCTGTTACAGGCTACAGCGAGGCCTGTGCGGCAACAAACGACTATCTCCGCCTGACGGACGGCCAGCTGATACAGTGGATGCGACCCAGCGTCACCAGGGACATGCAGAACCGCACCATTCGGCTCGGCGTGAAGGAGGTGCGGCCGCTCTCCTGCCCGGCCACCGCGCCACCAGGTGGCCGCGCGGGACCACATCAGACGATGTACATCCGTCAGGCATATATATATATATATATATATATATATATATATATATATATATGTGTGTGTGTGTGTGTGTGTGTGTGTGTGTGTGTGCATGGTATGTTCGATCTGGCGCTGATGCCGATTTGACATGCGCCACCGAGTAGCTCACTTATCATCGCCAGTTAACTGCATTAGGCTGGTGCCATTGGCACAATGCCACAATGCTCAGCGTCATCCGTCCATTAGTTTTAAGGCAATCCCTAGATAACTCCAGGGAAGCCCCTGAGGTCCCGTTTGTCCAGCGGGAAATGGCCTAGCCAGGTCAAACGTGGTTTGTCATGCCTGGGCCTTCAGCTGATCTTGGCTGGGCATCCGTGTTTCCGTCCCAGATGCCGACTGCCGCCTATCTCAACTCGACACAGCAGCCAGACCGGTGGTCGTTCCGCGTCATCAACATCCTGGCGTCCGTCTACAACTTCACGCCGGAGTACGTACCGTCGGCGAATCCGAGCGGCGGCGTCCCTGACGCGGCCGGCGGCTGGGGAGGCCTCACCGGACAGCTACTCAGGGAGGTGAGCGGTCCCAGACAGCTTCCCACAAGACAGATACTCGGGGAGGTGAGCGGTCCCTGACAGCTCCTGCAGGATACCTGGTCAGGGAGGCGATTGGGCCGCCTAGAAGCACAGCCCACCAGATAGCTGTCCAGGGAGGTGAGCGACCTTCCCAGACCGAAAATTTTCCGCCGGATAGTTGCTCAGGCAGGTCAGCGGCCTTCCAAGAATGACAGCTCCTTTCTGGAGAGCCGCTTGTCCGTTTGTTTCGTCAGAAGAGGCGTTATCAACCACCCCACTTACCCTCTGTGGTGGAGGACTCACGCGGCTGACGAGGGTGCTGCGAGCTCAAGGATTCCGGTGGACACCACTAGCTCTGCCACCTGTCCACGAAAATGTCGGGACAAGCTCATTACTTGCACCGGCTGGCGGACTGTCGCAGAAAAGAAAACTCGTGGGGTGTGATGTGACCCAACGTGCCTGCACCCCTCATCTTCTCAACCGTCTGGCATTTAACGCAATCGGGGGACATGGGCATGGACAGGACAGTGATGAATACCCATTTTGAGGTAGGGCAACACAAAATTTTTTAATGTTAAAACGTTTTTATTCAACCATGATTGTCGATTTAATAATAGAAACTTATGTGAGCCCTAGGTAAAATTTCTGGGGTTGAATCCGAGTCCCAGTGACCCAAGTGTGTCAGTTTTTATAAGCTATCGGGGGCGGGGGGGGGGGGCGAACCGAAGGCCCGACAACCCACCCCACCTCCACCCCACCCCATCCCATTTTTTCACCGGATTTAGCCCTCTTTATTTTGATTAAACACAATATATGCTTTTAATCTTCATATACTTTATAAAAGCATTTAATATAAGCAGTAAAGAAGTCATGCAGGGTTGGATCCAGGAAGCAGGCACTGGACGCACGCGTCTCTTCTGATCGGCACGTGAAGGCGCACCTTTAGAGGTCACCTTGGGGCGCCGATGGCGCTCTTTTATGGCGGTCATGGAGGGCGGCACGCATTTCGGTCGTAGGGGACGGGGACGAGGTTAGCCATGAAGGACTTCGGTCATCTCCATATTCCAGAGCTTTTCGCTTTAACATCACAAACCATTGCGTGTCTTATAGCACTAGGTATGGGAACTTTATTACATCGTTTATCCGCTCAGCTGTTACGATTTGTATCTTGCGGTGAAATCAACCACGACTTTTTGCTATGAGAGTGGTACGAGACGCCACTACGCAGAAAGATCAAAGAAGACAGGCATTGTGTTATAATCATCTTTTACCCACGATATTGTAGCATTCCAGCCAAAAAAATTGGCGGACCAAGCCAACATTCGAGGCCCAACTTAACCTGGGGGGGGGGGGAGGGGCAGAGCCCTCACAAAAGAAGGCATATCGACACCCGGACAGTGTCATGAGTTTTGAGTATTTTCCAAAGTGTACATTTCCTTAACCTGGTGATTCCGAGCCCGATTCAGTCCTAAAATGAATCGATTTACACCAGTCTAGTCCAAAAAGTCATTAGTTTGAGTCCGAGTACTAACATGGCGAACAGTATCAGTCAGCACCAAACATGGCTAAGATGTGTTTCATGTACTGATGGACAGCGAGCACAGTGCAAGTCTCCCAGACGTCGGAGAAGAGCAGCTTTCTAATACTCATGCGACTTTAACGTTTCAGGAAGTGGACATGACTGGAAACTTTCTGGTGTCATCAACTGAACGTCTCGACTTAGTGTCCTTTGGCGAAACGATCGGCTACTCCCAGATTGGACTATTAATAGAAAGACCAAAGGCAGAAACAAGGGACGACTCGCTTCTCGCTCCATTCAGCAACAAGGTATAAGTTCACCTGACATACGCTCAGCTGCTTTACATTGATCCGTAGTATCCGACAACAGCATGACAGGCTCGTAAAATGATGATGCGCAATAGCCCAAGACGGCGTGGTTTAATGGAAAGAGCCGCATCACAAGCTCCACCCGGTTTGCATGGGTTTGGCGCTCCCGACATTTAATGTCCAGATTTGCTCGCCCTGTCGCTTCGCGTCGAAAGTCGAGACATCTGACAGGCCCACCTGCGCTTGCACCTCCCGTCAGGTCTGGATCATGATCCTGATCTCGATGCTCGTCATGGGCCCGTTGATCTGGGGCATCATCCGCTTCCGTGTGTGGTTGGCGACGAGCGACAAACACCTGAACCGCATCATTCCGCTGGGCTCATGCGTCTGGTTTGTATACGGCGCGCTGATGAAGCAGGGCTCCGTCCTCTCACCCGTCACAGGTGCGTGGGGGAGAGAGGCGGGGAGAGAGAGAGAGAGGGGGAGAGAGGGGAGAGGGGAGAGGGAGAGAGGGGAGAGAGAGGGAGGGAGGCAGAGAGAGGGATATATATATATATATATATATATATATATATGCATATATATATGTGTGTGTGTGTGTGTGTATTGTGTGTGTGTGTGTGTGTGTGTGTGTGTGTGGTGTGTGTGTGTGTGTGTGTGTGTGTGTGTGTGTGTGTGTGTGTGTGTGTGTGTGTGTGTGTGTGTGTGTGTGCGTGTGTGCCGTAGACATGGCTCGTTATCAAGATTGGTGATATGTTTCGTACCGCAATTTAACTAACGATCTGCGTTGGTGGCGACGGCTCTTCTGCTTCAAGATAAACATTATGGCCACGACCCTTCTCAGCCTACAGCATAACACGCAGCGAATCAAAGCTGCAGCAGGCTCGTCTGCGCCACCTCCCACTGGAACGCGCCCATTGGCTGCACCGCTCCAGACTCGTCTCGAATGCTGTTCGCCACCTGGTGGATCTTCATCACGGTGGTAACGGCGTTCTACACGGCCAACCTGACGGCCTACATGACCTTCTCCGATCTGAAGATCCCCGTCGACAGCATTGACGACATCGATAGCAATCAGAAGTCTTGGATTGCGCCGCGAGGTGAGAAGATGGTACTCCGCCGGCGTGTGTGCCCTCGCGCACCAATGTCATGCAATCCTGTTAACGCAAACGCGAGCAGAATGGGACGCTGCGGTGCTGACAAACATCACAAATGCATGCACCAGGTGATTGCAGGAAGTTTTACATAACCAGCGGTTGAAAATAAGTATATCTTAATTGTATTATTCTTAAAATCATGAAAAGCTGTACTTTTACATGGGTGTCCAATGGGACATTATTCATTCTCATTCCTGTACTGTGTACAACACTTTTGCTGGTGTAATGCCCTACCCCTTTTCGCGTTTGCATCTTTTGTTTTTGTTCTCTTATTTTTTCATACACGTGCACTTTGCTTAGTAAATCACGCAACCGCTTGATAACGAGGAGCTCATCCATGCATGCCTGGATGTGCTCGTGAAAAAAGTTCGGGCATACCACATCGACTGGCGTCAATGCTGGCCAAATCACTTGGGTCGCACGTATTTGAAGGTCAGTGTTGTGTTGTCTTTGTTGTTTTGTGGGCAGCATACCAATATTCCCCTTTCTTTTGTCCGCAGTTTGATGTGTACCCATTGGCGAGACCATACAAGTGCTGCATGGAATACCGTGTAATTAGGCGCGCCAGGATGCTTTGCATAGCGGCCGCATGTACAGTACGTGCCTAATAAAAAGCCACCGAACCACATCAAAATGTTATGACTCAAATGCTCGGTTCGGGCACTGGGTGTCACCTGACACGTCTCGGTCAGGGCGCTGGGTGTCACCTGACACGTATCCGTCTAGCTGCTTGGATCACATGACACGTCTCAGTCTAGGAGCCGGGTGTTACCTGACACGTCTCAGTCAGGGCGCTAGGTGTCACCTGACACGTATTCGTCCAGCCGCTTGGTATCGTCTGACACGTCTCAGCCTAAGAGCCGGGTGTCACCTGACACGCCTTGGTCAGGACGCCGGGTGTCACCTGACACGGTTTGATCCGAGGCTCGTGTGCCACCTGATACGACCGCTGTGCATCTCGATTTAACCCGGCCGTGACCCTGTGACCCGGTGTTCGACCCCGAGGCGGATCAGACGCGACACACGAGGCCTGATGCACTCCATCTGCGATGGGTCCAGGGTGTCGCGGACCGGTCTGAGATGTCATTGGGAAGAGGTCTGTACTGACACAGAAAGCCGTTTATCCTTACGTATTACATAACGCATATTGAACCAGTGGAAGGTCCTCTATGTACATGGACTGTGTCTGTACATGGACATGGAATGTTCATTTTCAAGAGTGATGCGCCGTACCTGCATCACGTGCAGGCCGGCTCCTGCACTGGACGAGGTAATGAGGCATTGGGGGCGTTAGTCATGACCGAGTCAGCTCTACACCTGTCGGCCCCTTTTTAACGCCTGTCCTGTCGCAATGTTGGCTTTTTCCCGGTTGCCATACTGTTTTACCAAACAGTCTGAATCGGTAACAGGTCATGAGGTTGGCTCATCGCCCGTGAAGCGTGGCATTTTACCAATGTACTGACAACATCCGCTTCTGTGGTGGATGACGTATATTTTCAATATCTGAGGACAAAAAATCTTCATACACGAAATGAATCCGTGCCTTGAGCGTCCAAGCCTATTTTTGTATCCTTCCGTGCAGACGAGTTCGAGCACGCCATATGAGAAAGGGACGCCTGTCGCCGCGTCGAGGGCCAAGCGGTCGTCGGGGGGGTGACGTGTCCATCCCCGCAGCGGTCATGCTGGTGGTAAACTGGGTCTGGAGCGCTCGCTCGAACCGGTCGCGCGGTGACGTCTGCAGCCCTGATTAACGCTGCTGTTGGGATAATAGAATGTCACGGTGAGGTGGGCATTGTCTTAAGGCTGACTTTGGAGGTTGCCTAAGGCGGACTTCAAGACATCGTGTATCCGGACTATGTGTTACATAAGTTTGGACCGGCATTGGACAATCTTTCTTGCCGAAGGGTCGTACGAAAAATGCACGTGAAAGCGATGCTCAGGCACGCGACACATATACGCCATTAACTGGACAGTGACGGGTTTATGCGCCTAGCGCCTGCATCGCTACAACAGCACGCGCAGGCCACGCGCTTGCCGAGCATGCCGGCCAAGGCGATTCATGTTTGGCAGGCAGAGGCGTTTTCTTCGAAACAAATCTTTGGAGAGCATACGGGCTGTCAATATGACGTGATGACGTATTGATGTAAGACCTTTACCTTGCGTAGCTAGGAGGGAATCCTTACTTGCGGGTGCTTATGACTGCAAATATTATTTGGATGCGGATTGAATCGTTCATTTGATCTGAGTAGCCCTGACTAAACTGGGCAATATCTCGCATTACCTGCGGGCTGCGGATGATCTAACGTCCAACGGGCAAGCATATTCGAAATACGGAGACAAGACGCCACCTGGCGGTCTGGAATGCCCACTCTGACGCGACAGCCCGCCATCTGATGTCTACTTCTGTCTGCGTATGTACAGCAGCATCCAGCTGCACTAGGATAGTCATTAATTCTGACGCGCTTGTTTGTGTTATACATTACAGGGGACAGCATCCAGATGTACGTCAACAGCTCCGACGTCCTCATGGGGATGAGAAGGGCCGGGAAGGGCTCCTTCATCAGTCCCGACGAACCGGCGTCCAAGACTATTGACAAAGTCCGCAGTTCAGGTGGGTGTTAGCATGAGGTTGTGGACACGATGAGATGATAGTGATGCACTAGTTGCAATGGAAAACGTTTCATTCTGCACCTTTCGTTTGGCGTTCATAATACAAGTATTTTGCCTTCATGCTCCCCATTGAAATTTAAAGGAATCAAATTTACGAATGCAATAGAAAGTGCCAGAACATTTTTATCAATTAAGCGTCTCTATTTTCATGCCAACAGTAACGTCTCGCCTGCCGATGGCAAATGTCCAGGTCGAATGCGTCATCTAATGGCGTTTGGGAGCAATGTATACCTACATGCAAGACATCGCCTTCTATAATCACAGCGTACGTCTACATCGACGAGGTGTCCAAGCTGAACGCCATGATGATGGCCGACTACTACTCCAGCAACCGCACCTGCCACGTGTATGTGGTGCCCCTCAAGGATGAGTACATCAAGTACTCGCTAGCCGCGCCCAAGGGCTCGTCATTCAACCAAGCCTTCGACCCTTTGTGAGTGAGAGCAATGACAAGTCTACAAGCCGAACACATGCAGCATAAACACTCGCCAGCCAATAGCAGTCGCATTGCTTCAGTGCCACCTTTTGTTCCGGCCATTCCTGCCGTCACGCAATACGCCCACCAGAACAAAAATCGGCGCCACTCTCAGAACCACATCACCTATGCATCTGGAGCGCTGCTCGATGCAAGAGCACGACACGCATTGACAGGCGTCGACTGGCAAAGCGCAATGTTGTCCCACAAATCAGTGCGAATCGTCGAGCCTCACAGCTTGGCTGCGGACTTTCGCGACCACGCCGTGCCTGTGGCGGCGGCTGGCGTGCCGCCGGTCTCGTACGCCCGATATAGGGTAGAGAACCTGTCGCGGAGCCGGGCGTGGTGCGCCACTGAGGCATGGAGCGACCGGCACAGCAGACCACGGTAGCCTTGGTGCACGGCTGTCACCAGCTGGCGCCGAAGAAGCGCGGGGCGCGTTCGGAGAACGGCCAGCGACGCTGCAGTTTAGTGGAGGTTGAACTTTCTCTTTGGGCGAGAGCTCACGTTATGGCGCCGGTACCTTACGCTCGCCAGCCAATAACAATCGCATGGCCTTCATTTATGTGTATGCGTCCACAAAGGCATGTTGCCGCAATATCAACCCAACTATACCTCCATTATCCTGTTTTTTCTCTGAGGAATAACGCTAATACTACTTTCTCATTTATGTGATAATGTTACCCGCTAGTGCACTGAACAAGTTACGGAACATTCCTATGAATAATTTATGAGCCTTCCATACTTGATGTATGTACTTTCTCCACCGGGCAATAAGGTGCAAATACCCTTATGCATTGTAATCTCCAGCCACCTGTATGGTACTGATAGCTATCTGTTTAATCCATGGTTTGGCTCTTTCCGGCTTTCTATATTCGGCATCCATTTTCCTGCGATTTCCAGCGACAGGCAAGGTCGGCCTCCTCACCAACATTCTCTAGGCTATTATCGCTTAGAGCGGTAAACATTTTAGGTGGATCACATCGGAAAAATCTATCTAGGTACAAGCCAGGATTTGTACATAATATATATATATTATATATATATATATATAATTGTGCACTGCTATTGGAAATCATCTTTTGGTACGGAGAACACAAATGAAACATGACTTATTGAAGTAAGACAGAGTCCTATTTACAGGATACATACATGCATACATACATACATACATACATGCATATATATATATATATATATATATATATATAATAATATAAGAAGCACTCATAAGGGAACACTACAAAAGCACAATGAGAACACTATTGGCACAATCACATCAATAGTGCTCATCGCCCACCAACTAATAGTTCAAGAGTTGTGCAAGAATTTGTCTGTCTGTTTAGCGCAGGAGGGAGTTCGTTAATGAATATGCCTTCTCAAATTTGAAGGCGTCTTCTGTCATTAAACGTCCGTAAGATGTCAGTGTTGTCTGTCAGTTGTTGCTTCAATGTCATGCCGTGCTAGTGTCGCGTGTGGTCCAGTGGTGCCCCGTGACGTAAATGCATTGTTAGGCGTCATGAGTGTTGTGGTCACACCAATGTAGTGTGTGGAACGAAGTTTGCAGCCTTCGATGCTGCATCCGAATTGATGCACTACATTGGTGCATTTTAGTTTGTCGGGTTTGTCTGGGCTGTCTCTCACCAGAAAGTTAGATATTGTCTTATTACGATAATAAATGACGATATCTATTTTGTGGTCGTTTTTGTCTCTACCACGTCGAGATAAAATTTCCCGTAAAGGTTTTTCGTCTTGTTTGTGGGCAGATTTCCTTTGATTTTGATAAAATAGTTTGAAGGCTGGTTAGATGTGTTGTCTTGGTCTTCTGTCAAAGTATCTTGTCATAGGTCGTGGTATTTCGTTTTTAACGTCAGGATTTGAAAAACTGTTGTTCACCAAAATCTGTCTGATTCTAACCAATTCTGAATGTAGTCCTGTACAATTAGAGCAGTGCTTAAATGCAAGTCTAATGAAGGACCTTATGACGCCAACGACTTGATGAATTATGACGCATTAACGAACTCTCTCCGGCACCTAAAAAGACAAACAATTCTTGCGCAACTCCTGAACTATTAGGTAGTGACCGGTGAACACTATTGATGTGAATATGGCAATAGTGTTCTTATTGTGTCTTTGTAGTGTTCCCATTATGAGTGTTTCGTATATGTATCTTGTAAATGGGACTCTGTCTTACTTCAATTAGCCATGCTTCATTTGTGTTCTCGGTACCAAAAGATGCTTTCCAGTAGTAGTGCACAATTTTTTATCCTTTAAAACTAAAAACGTATTTCTTGTGCCATTCAAGCTTCTCCGACAATGAGATAGAATCTCGAAACGTTAGAAGGTAAGGAGCGATTAATATACGAGTAATTTTGTGCGAACCATCTTTAATCTAAGCGATATTGCCAGGCCAAAGGCCCGGAAACTAGAACGATGCGTCAAAAAGCTCGTCAGTGCTGAGTCGGCAGGTATTTTTAGTCAAACATGTATAAAAGAAAGGATTTTGCCAAAATATTCCAACATATGTATATATATATTATATATATATATTCATTGCA